CCTCTTTCATCGAAGTCCTCACTGACGATGGTGGTCCCCGGTAAAAACAGAATGTTATGGTCGGCGTGGTCGAATCGGCAAAGCTCATGGTTGTTAAATTTTTAAAAAGTCGCAAGTTCGAACCCTCTGGCAGATAAGGCTAAAATTAAGAACGAAGAAGAAGAAGAAAGAAGAAGTTCTCGGGGTGATTAAATTTTAAACAACTCTCGGGGTTGTTCGCTGCGAAAAAATTTTCATCGGACAAGACATGAGAAATTTTCGTTGTCAGATATCTTATATTCATACTTAGTAAACTCTGTATACTCTGTAAACTCTTTATTCGTTAAGGTGCTACGTGTCTCGATTCTACAAAATTAAACTTAAAATGTGTATTACCTGAAATTAATTGCAAGCTGTAGGATGTTGCTATTCCTATTTTTAATTAATATTTCTGCTCTAAGCTCTCTGTACGAGTAACAATTTGTTTTAGAACACAAGATAGATTTTCAAACTAGGATCAACCCAAGACCCAAGCTTAGCCCATCCCAGATGAATGTGTTTATTTATTAATATTATATATGCTGTCAAAACAAGTTATGTATTAGATAAATCGCGAGGATTTGGCTCAACAACACAATTAAAATTGTTGTGTGGTGAAATCATTCGCGACTGACACGTTACTCAAACTGAGCATTCGTTACGTTAATGTTTCTGTTCGACAAGTACTGTAGTACTAGTACACAGACAGATTAACTGCAAAATCAACAGTTCTAGTACACGATTGTAAAACCAACCGTATTAGTACACATCCACACTGTAAAACCAACAATAGTAGTACACACTCACACTGTAAAACCAACAGTACTAGTACACAGCCACACTGTAAAACCAACAGTACTAGTACACAGCCGCAATGTAAAACCAACAGTGCTAGTACACAGGCACACTGTAAAACCAACAGTACTAGTACACAGCCACACTGTAAAACCAACAGTACTAGTACACAGCCACACTGTAAAACCAACAGTACTAGTACACAGCCACACTGTAAAACCAACAGTACTAGTACACACTCACACTGTAAAGCAACAGTACTAGTACACAGCCACACTGTAAAACCAATAGTACTAGCACACTGCCACACTGTAAAACCAACAGTACTAGTACACAGCCACACTGTAAAACCAACAGTACTAGTACACAGCCACACTGTAAAGCAACAGTACTAGTACACAGCCACACTGTAAAACCAATAGTACTAGCACACTGCCACACTGTAAAACCAACAGTACTAGTACACAGCCACACTGTAAAACCAACAGTACCAGCACACAGCAAGATTGTAAAACTAATAGTACTAGTACATAGTCAGATTGTAAAACCAACAGTACTAGTACACAGCCAGACTATAAAACCAACAGTACTAGTACACACTCACACTGTAAAACCAACAGTACTAGTACACAGCCACACTGTAAAACCAACAGTACTAGTACACACTCACACTGTAAAACCAACAGTACTAGTACACAGCCACACTGTAAAACCAACAGTACTAGTACACAGCCACACTGTAAAACCAACAGTACTAGTACACACTCACACTGTAAAATCAACAGCACTAGTACACAGCCACACTGTAAAACCAACAGTACTAGTACATAGTCAGATTGTAAAACCAACAGTACTAGTACACACTCACACTGTAAAACCAACAGTACTAGTACACACTCACACTGTAAAATCAACAGTACTAGTACACAGCCACACTGTAAAACCAACAGTACTAGTACACAGCCACACTGTAAAACCAACAGTGCTAGTACACAGGCACACTGTAAAACCAACAGTACTAGTACACAGCCACACTGTAAAACCAACAGTACTTGTACACACTCACACTGTAAAATCAACAGTACTAGTACACAGCCACACTGTAAAACCAACAGTACTAGTACACAGCCACACTGTAAAACCAACAGTGCTAGTACACAGGCACACTGTAAAACCAACAGTACTAGTACACAGCCACACTGTAAAACCAACAGTACTAGTACACAGCCACACTGTAAAACCAACAGTACTAGTACACAGCCACACTGTAAAACTAACAGTACTAGTACACACTCACACTGTAAAGCAACAGTACTAGTACACAGCCACACTGTAAAACCAACAGTACTAGTACACAGCCACACTGTAAAACCAACAGTACCAGCACACAGCAAGATTGTAAAACTAATAGTACTAGTACATAGTCAGATTGTAAAACCAACAGTACTAGTACACAGCCAGACTATAAAACCAACAGTACTAGTACACACTCACACTGTAAAACCAACAGTACTAGTACACAGCCACACTGTAAAACCAACAGTACTAGTACACACTCACACTGTAAAACCAACAGTACTAGTACACAGCCACACTGTAAAACCAACAGTACTAGTACACAGCCACACTGTAAAACCAACAGTACTAGTACACACTCACACTGTAAAATCAACAGCACTAGTACACAGCCACACTGTAAAACCAACAGTACTAGTACATAGTCAGATTGTAAAACCAACAGTACTAGTACACACTCACACTGTAAAACCAACAGTACTAGTACACACTCACACTGTAAAATCAACAGTACTAGTACACAGCCACACTGTAAAACCAACAGTACTAGTACACAGCCACACTGTAAAACCAACAGTACTAGTACACAGCCACACTGTAAAACCAACAATAGTAGTACACACTCACACTGTAAAACCAACAGTACTAGTACACAGCCACACTGTAAAACCAACAGTACTAGTACACAGCCGCAATGTAAAACCAACAGTACTAGTACACACACTGTAAAACCAAGAGTACTAGTACACAGCCACACTGTAAAACCAACAGTACTAGTACACAGTCACACTGTTTAACCAATATTACTAGTACACAGTCACACTGTAAAACCAACAGTACTAGTACACAGCCACACTGTAAAACCAACAGTACTAGTACACACACTGTAAAACCAACAGTACTAGTACACAGGCACACTGTAAAACCAACAGTACTAGTACACAGCCACACTGTAAAACCAACAGTACTAGTACTCTAGTACACAGGCACACTATTAAAACCAACAGCAGTTTTAACCTTAAATTCAAATCACCTTGACTACCACCTTACTTTACTGACTTGAGAGCGTCTAAGAAGTTAACAGTTGAAACCATACCTCTCAACCGGACTCTGCTTTGGGCGGCTGTCTTAAGTCTAGTTTTGCTTTGCCCGGCATACTTTTCTTTTCCCCTGGGGATTCAAGTCTAACGCGTGCCTCACGATGTTATCCGTTTTCAGAGCATATCCCCCCGAACCATCCCCATTTGCGGACTTTCATTTCCCTGTCTATTGACTGTTATTTTGTTTTTAGCCACAGATCTTTATTTAGCATTTTGTCGGGACAGCTTACCTTAAGGAAGTGTTGTAGAAAGATGTTCAAACAGTATCTACTATTTAAAGCAATGTATAATGGTCAGAATTCTATTAGCCGGACAATGCCACGTAGACGACCAGAGGAATGTTGGGAGGGAATATGAGTTGAGTGTCTCTGACTGTCTAAGGCCTAGGCTTAACATTGAGATGGGCGAGAGACAACTTTAAGCCTTCAATATTACAACTATGGTTACACGCGAGTCGTAACTAAATTCTGGTCAGAAATATCTTTTTGTGTTCGAGGAATGTTGATTACATTTTCAAGCTTGATGCACAAAATATATTAATCCGGTTGTAGAATTAATTAACTAATCAACGCAAGATGGATAATACGTGCGGGTTTAATTGCGATTTGGTTGTCACCTACGTGCATGCACAGAGATTGTCAACGCATGTTTTAGAGATTAATTTGCTGTGGAGGTAGGCTACGACGTGGCAAGGAATAGAAATAAGAGGTGGAGTAGTGGGGTGGATAAGGTGGATGTGGATAATGTCGACGTGGATACTGACAATCTTTTCTCATTTGTACGTAAGACAAGGGAGCAGATGAAGTAGAGTTCATCCATTTCAATGAACTAGGGATACAGGGGGGGGGGGTCAACCTTTGTTTCCCTAATGTGAGACATGTAAACATCAGAGCTGGGTGGACTCAGGGATGTCGAGCAGACTCATCCGGATTTGAAATCAAGAAATTCGGGTTAAAGTTGTGCTCTCTACCATCCGGCCATCTCTCTAAAGACACTAAATTAATAATTGGTCCCTAGGGTCAGGTCATAACTTGCCATCAATAGATTGCCCCTCAGGAATTGCCACAAATACGTGCTGAAAATTAAATATCATGAAATAGTTTTACTTTTCTAACGCGAGTAATCCAATTTTAATGCTTTAATCAAGATCATATATTTCTTTTCATGGTTTTCTTTCGGGAACTCTTGCGACACTACCGATTCCAAGCTGTTCAGGCAATCTCTAGTTCATTGGGTCCATTAGTTAGATGGAGGGGGGGGGGGGGTGATACATGGGCCACATTTGGCTCTACTCCAGTTAGGGCCCAGGCTTTGTGTTTGAATTTCCAATGCGCACCTCCCAATGGTCTATTAGACCATGGAGACATATTATATATTTCCTCAAAAATATAGAAGTGATATTAAATTTAGTTACGAAATATATTTTAGGACTTATTGTGTTTTAAAAGTATATGAAGTTGCGCTGTAGTAATTTGATATTTGAACATTCTAGTGTTTGCCTTAGGTCAAAAAAATTTCAACATTCCAGTGTTTGCATTAGGTACACAAAATTTCAACATTCTAGTATTGGCCTTAGGTACACAAACTTTCAACATTCCAGTGTTTCACTCGGTACAGAAAATTTCAACATTCTAGTGTTTGCCTTAGGTACACAAAATTTCAACACTCTAGAGTTTGCTTTAGACACACAAAATCACCATACTTTTCATCAAATTTTTAAAGTCCGCCTATCTTTCGAGCACCATTTTTTCGCCCAATTCATAATTGCCCAGTTGTTGTCGCCCAGTTGGCTGTCGCCAGGTTGACGCCTCTTGCAACGTCAACACCAGCACTACGCATGCGCAAAAGTGTGCATATAAAGGAAAGCAGCGGCCAACGAATAGCGTGATCACACACTTGTAGAAGTAAAGATCTAAAGCACTTTCAAGTTACTGAGCATTCGGTATGTGTTTTTCTATCTACTAACCCTTCCTTTTTAGTCTTATAGTTTAATTTTCTGTAATTTATCCTTTACACATTTAAAAGCTGGGTTTTTTTATATATAAGATTTATTAATTTTTTTTAGAAATAGCTTTCAGTTTGTGTTAATTTAAAAACTGAAACATCCTCCTCAATTAGTATGCTTTAAAACAATTAGTATTAAGATCATTATTTTCAAGGGCTCGTATTTAATTAGAAGGAGAAAAAATTTCGCATGATAATCTGTATAGAGCTAGAGACTTTCGGAATGTCGTCCTTGTGTACCAACTTGGATCAGGAGATTCAAAGACTTTATCCGCAAACACCATCTAGTGCAGAGCGTTAGCCCGAAAGACAATGGCCCGAATGTCTTAGCCCAAAAAACAACTGCTCAAATGCCGTTAGTCCCTAGGAGTCAATTTGTGTGGGTGTTCTGTGGTACACCAGTTGTGGTGTGGGAGTTGTGTGGTATACCAATTGTGTGGGAGTTGTGTGATAGACCAGTTGTGTGGTACACCAGTTGTGTGGGAGTTGTGTGGTACACCAATTGTGTGGGAGTTGTGTGGTAGACCAGTTGTAGGGGAGTTGTGTGGTAGACCAGTTGTGTGGGAGTTGTGTGGTATACCAATTGTGTGGGAGTTGTGTGGTAGACCAGTTGTAGGGGAGTTGTGTGGTAGACCAGTTGTGTGGTACACCAGTTGTGTGGGAGTTGTGTGGTATATCAATTGTGTGGAAGTTTTGTGGTAGACCAGTTGTAGGGGAGTTGTGTGGTAGACCAGTTGTGTGGTATATCAGTTGTGAGGGAAATGTGTGGTAGACCAGTTGTGTGGTAGACCAGTTGTGTGGGAGTTGTGTGGTACACCAATTGTGTGGGAGTTGTGTGGTAGACCAGTTGTGTGGTACACCAGTTGTGTGGGAGTTGTGTGGTACACCAATTGTGTGGGAGTTGTGTGGTAGACCAGTTGTGTGGTAGACCAGTTGTGTGGGAGTTGTGTGGTACACCAATTGTGTGGGAGTTGTGTGGTAGACCAGTTGTGTGGTAGACCAGTTGTGTGGGAGTTGTGTGGTACACCAGTTGTGTGGGAGTTGTGTGATAGACCAGTTGTGTGGGAGTTGTGTGGTATATCAATTGTGTGGAAGTTTTGTGGTAGACCAGTTGTAGGGGAGTTGTGTGGTAGACCAGTTGTGTGGGAGTTGTGTAATAGACCAGTTGTGTGGTATATAAGTTGTGAGGAAAATGTGTGGTAGACCAGTTGTATGGTAGACCAGTTGTGTGGAAGTTGTGGGGTACGCCAATTGAGTGGGAGTTGTGTAATAGACCAGTTGTGTGGTAGACCAGTTGTGTGGTAGACCAGTTGTGTGGTAGACCAGTTGTGTGGTAGACCAGTTGTGTGGTAGACCAGTTGTGGGGGAGTTGTGAGGTAGACCGGTTGTGTGGGAGTTGTGTGGTAGACCAGTTGTGTGGTAGACCGGTTGTGTGGGAGTTGTGAGGTAGACCGGTTGTGTGGTAGACCGGTTGTGTGGGAGTTGTGAGGTAGACCGGTTGTGTGGGAGTTGTGTGGTAGACCAGTTGTGGGGGAGTTGTGTGGTAGACCAGTTGTGGGGGAGTTGCGGGGTAGACCAGTTGTGTGGTAGACCGGTTGTGTGGGAGTTGTGTGGTAGACCAGTTGTGGGGGAGTTGTGTGGTAGACCAGTTGTGGGGGAGTTGCGGGGTAGACCAGTTGTGTGGTAGACCAGTTGTGGGGGAGTTGTGTGGTAGACCGGTTGTGTGGGAGTTGTGTGGTTCGCCAATTGTGTGGGAGTTGTGTAATAGACCAGTTGTGTGGTAGACCAGTTGTGTGTTAGACCAGTTGTGGGGGATTTGTGAGGTAGACCGTTTGTTTGGGAGTTGTGTGGTAGACCAGTTGTGTGGTAGATCAGTTGTGGGGTAGACCAGTTGGGTGGTAGACCAGTTGTGGGGTAGACCAGTTGTGTTGGGGTTGTGGGGTACACCAATTGTGAGGGAGTTGTGTGGTACACCAGTTGTGTGGTAGACCAGTTGTGTGGAGAGAGGGGGTTCTATCAGTTGTGTGGAGAGAGGAGTCTGATACATGTGCAGCATCTGGCCCCTCTCATGCTTCGAGCGTGGATTTCAAAAGCGCTATTTTCATGTCTACTTGACTATGTAGCCATATTAACTCAACCATCTTTTTCCTTCTTTAGCACATTAAAAAATATTTAAAAAAATAAATGATTAAATATAAAAAAATAATGCAGGGTAAAGAAATTTTAGCTCAACACACGAGAGTATTTTTAATGTTTTTTTTTTTTTAAATTCTATTCTACTAGAAAACATCATGGGATCTCAATCCGTCATTCGTGGTGTCGTCTGGTTACTTCTTGTCTGCCTGTTCACGGTACAGTCTAAACCTTCAATGGAAGAGGACGAGGCGGGTTTGGCACGGCGGGACGAGGAACTCCCTGGAGAGTTGCAGCTGCGCCAGGACTACGGCGACGGTGGCGATGGAGGAGAGGGACCTGCAGAAGAGCCACCTGCTGACGGAGCTGAACCCACAGAAGAGCCACCTGCTGACGGAGCTGAACCCCCAGCAGAGCCACCAGCGGACGATGAACCAGCAGCTACTCACCACGAAGAAACCACTCATGCTGCCCCCAAGAATTCTCCCACTGCCCCCAAGAATTCTCCCACCAAGCCGAGCTCTAGCAAAACCGAAGCTAAGCCTAAAAGTATACTGGGCTCCTTAAAGGAAAGTATTAGGGGTATCTTTTGGTCTGTATGTGACATAGCATTTAAATTTCTTAGGATTGGCGCTAATGTGGTTGACGAGACTATTGTAAATTCCTTCGCTGATTAAATGCTATGCATGTCCCTTTGAAAACGACATGTATGTTCCAGTATATTTTGGTTGAATAAAACAAAGTGGCCAATATGTCTGCATTGTGTTTGTTGAGCGATTATTTATAAAAAAAAAGTACATGTACACATTAAAAACACACGTAGCAGTAAGGCAACGAAAATACGACACACAGAACATTTAATTACATAGGTCATTTCTAGTCCAACTAAGTACGTTGCAACCTATACTGGGCATTTCTTACTCCAAAATATTACATGTTTACTCTAAGGATTTTTCTTACTATGTCCTTTATTACTCTAATAAAGGACATATCTTATTATGATTCAGACATTTATTACTTTATTACTCAAAGGACATTTCTTACTACAGCGATCATTTCTTACCTCAATATTTCTTCACCAAATGGAATACAACTATTTCCCATCTATTCCATTAAAGGACTTGTCTTACTCCAAAACTGGAGATTTATGATCACAACGCGTCATATTTGCTAACCCACTAGCCGAGATGTATTTTCAGTACTTATCTGTGTTTATCTACCCCTTTATCCGTTTCCAATACGCCATAAGACACTACAGACCTTTCCAATACAACAATTTGACAATATAGTAGCAATTGGGTAAACGATAGGGTTGGAAAAAGACTCAAATCACGTACGTTCCTATCCTGTCCACAGAAAAAAATCCACAGCAACTGAAATCAGAAAACAAACTTTTACTTCTTTAAGAATTAATAGCCGACTAGCGTACCTGCCCCCCGCGCGTTGCCGCGGGGATAGAAGAAAGTTTGACGAAATATATTAGAAGAATTTCACCAACGCGTTACCAATTATATGTTCTTAGACGCGTGACATTCTTTTCTAAAAATGAGTTATTTAAATGTAAACAATGCCTGCGCTTCCATCCTGATGGCACACCGCCTCGAACTGGTGGGATGGCTTGTGTGCCCCAGCGACCCCCAGAGCTATGCCGGCGGGAGCCTAGTGCTCCTGGCAGGTCTAACCAAGTCGGACAGATCTGCGCGGGAGGGGCCAGACCAAACGTTGTGTCCTGGTCCTGTGGGTAGGGGCCAGACCAAACGTTGTGTCCTGGTCCTCCAGTTTGGGGGTTGTGCGATGGGCTAACTACTCATCCACATAAAACAAAATATAGTTACAGAAACCGAAGCCTAATCTGAAATAAATCCAGTCCTCGGAAGAACCAGGGCTCCACTTAGGAGAAGTATGACGCAATGCAGCCAAATCCGCAAGGAAGCTACAGAGCCGACCCCCCTTCTTCAACCGAGGAAAACTAAATTCACAGCCCTAAAACTACTGTCGCAAAAGAAACCTATCCTCATAGGAACATGGAACGTCAGAACACTATGGGAAGCAGGGAAGTGTGCACAGGCAGTGAAAGAAATGCAACAGTATCATCTTACAGTGCACGGCCTGTGCGAAACAAGATGGAACACCTTTGGAGAGACAAAATTCCAGACGGGAGAAACACTGCTATACTCGGGAAAAGAAAATGAGGACGACCCACGAGAGGCAGGCGTAGCCTTGCTATTGACAAAGGAAGCAACAAAAAGCCTGATGGAACGGGAACCTGTATCTGATCGAATAATTAAAGCTAGATTTGAATCCAGGTTTCAAAAGACCCCCATTATCATGTGCTATGCTCCTACAAACAACGAAGACGAGGAAGAAAAAGACCGCTTCTACGAAGAGCTTTAGTCGGTGGTTGATAAGGTACCCACGCGCGACATGCTGATCCTCATGGGTGATTTAAATGCCAAAGTAGGCAAAGACAACAGAGGCTGGGAAATGGAGATGGGAACCAATGGCCTAGGAGAAATGAATGAAAATGGTGAACTCTTCACAGACTTTTGTGCCTCAAATGAGCTTACTATCGGCGGTACACTCCCCCCCCCCCGAAGTTGTCATAAAGCCACCTGGATATCACCAGATCATCATACCGAAAACCAGATTGATCATGTCGCAGTAAGGCGTCGTTGGAGGGCCTCACTGCAGGATGTGAGAACAAAGCGAGGAGCCGACATAGGATCCGACCACCACCTGGTTGTTGCTAAACTGAAGATGAAGCTAAAGGCGAAGTAGATGCAACATGAAGTTGATCCACGAAGAAGATTTGATGTAAGTAAACTTAAGACGCACGATAACAGAACAAATTTTCAGGTCACCCTAAAGAATCGGTTTGAAGCTCTACAGACAGAAGAAAAAGATTTTGATTCAGTTGAACACACCTGGGAAGTATTTAAGCAAGCCACTGGTGAAGCCTGCGAGGAGGCTCTAGGAGGTAGAGCGCCCAACAGGAAGCCCTGGATCACAGATGATACATGGCAGAAGGTGGAAGAAAGAAAAAGCCTAAAGAGCGAACTAAATCAAGCAAAAACACGGCATCAGAAACAAGCAGCAGCCTCTCGATATAACGAAAAGGCTAAAGAGGTGAAAATGAAACTATGAAATGACAAGAGATTGTTTATAAATGAAATGGCAGAGCAGGCCAAAACAGCTGCCAGTAAGGGAGATGTCAAGACGCTCTATGCAACAACTAGAGCTCTGAGTGGGAGGAAAACCAATCCCAACAGGCCAGTGAGGAGCAAAAATGGTAAACTTCTAACGTCGATTGAGGAAGAATTGGCACGATGGAGAGAGCACTTCCAGGAATTACTAAACGGTCCAGCACCCCAAGATCCACCAGACCTGGAGCCAGGGGAACCCCTTAACATCAATACCGAGGAAATCACCAGACAGGAAATTCTCAACGCTTTAAATGGATTGAAGAGTGGCAAGGCAGCAGGACCAGATAATATCCCAGCAGAGGCATTAAAACAAGGTGGAGAAGAAGTAGTAAATCGACTTCATAAATTACTTAACTTAGTCTGGAACACAGGACAGATCCCAACCGATTGGAAGAGGGGCCTCCTTGTGAAGTTGCCTAAGAACGGTGACTTATCTCAGTGTGGAAAATGGAGGGGCATTACCTTGTTGTCCGTACCAGGAAAAGTCTTCTGCAGAGTCCTATTACAAAGAATGAGGAAAGGAATTGATGGGATCCTTCGTGAAGAACAAGCTGGCTTCAGGGCCAACAGGTCATGTAACGACCAAATATTTGTCTTGCGCACTATAGTGGAACAGTCCCTGGAGTGGAATTCGTCTCTCTACATCAACTACATAGATTTCGAGAAAGCATTTGATAGCATCCACCATCCATCATTATGGAAGATACTAGAGCTATATGGCTTTCCAGGAAAAGTCATAAACATACTTAAGGACATGTACTATGATAACCAATGCTGTGTGCGACACGAAAATCAGCAAAGTGAATGGTTCAAGGTAAAAACAGGAGTCAGACAGGGCTGTGTCATCTCACCTGTCATCTTTTTGGTGGTAATAGACTGGATTATGAGAAGAGCCACTGAGGATAAGCCAAGAGGAATTGTTTGGGAACTTACCAACCACCTAGAGGACTGCGACTTTGCTGATGACTTGGCTTTACTTTCACATGCCCAAAAAGACATCCAAGCGAAAACCACAAGAATAGAGCAAATTGCCAAAAGCGTTGGGCTAAAGATAAACTCCGGAAAAACCAAGCTAATGAAAATAAAAACCAAAAGTGCTCTCAAGACCTTTGCGAATGGAGCAGAGCTAGAAGAGGTCGAAGACTTTGAGTACCTCGGCAGCTATATATCAGCAAATGGCAGCATGGAGAAAGAAATTGTCACCAGAATAGCAATGGCAGCACAAGCTTTCAACAGACTCGTAAGATCTGGAAATCATCCTCACTGCAGCAGAGAACTAAAATAAGGATCTATAAGTCTAATGTACGTTCTGTACTCCTCTATGCTGCAGAGTCATGGAAACTAAACAAGAAAGTAGACAGCCGACTCAGAGGCTTTGAAAGAAGATCCCTCCAACGCATCCTCAGGATAAAGTGGGACGACAAAGTCCCGAACAAGGAAATATGGCGAAGGACAGGATTAAACGACATTGTCTCAGAAGTTAGAACGAGGAGATGGAGATGGCTGGGCCATGTCCTACGCATGAACAAAAAAAGACTCCCCAACATGGCGCTGAAGTGGAACCCACCCGGAAAGAGAAGTAGAGGAAGACCACAGGGAACATGGAGGAGGGAGATGGAAGAAGAAGTACAGGCTACTGGCAAAACCTGGCATGAACTAAAGTGGCTCGCCCAGGACAGGGTGGAATGGCGGAGATTTGTTGTTGCCCTATACTCCACAGGGAGTGATGAGGATTAAGTAAGTAAAAGTACCTTGTTGTCCATATCAAGTAAAGTCCTTACCAGAGTTATTTAGGACAGAATGAAAGAGGTGGTTGACCTTAAGCTAAGAGAGGAACAAGCAGGGTCCAGGAAGGAAAGATCTTGTACAGATCAAATAGTCACTCTTAGAATTATTGTAGAACAGACGATAGAATGGCAGGCCCGCTTTACATCTGCTTTGTTGACTTTGAGAAGGCCTTTGATAGTGTGGATAGTGTAGAATCTGTTGAGACACTATGGTGTACCTGCTAAGTTAGTGGAAATAATCCAGCAGCTTTACAATGGATTTTCATGCCAAGTTAGCCATGCTGGGAAACTGTCTAAAGTGTTCCAGGTCAACACAGGTGTAAGACAAGGATGTCTGCTGTCGCCCCTCCTCTTCTTGGTGGTTCTCGATTGGGTGACACGCACAGCCTATGCCAGTTCTGGAAAAGGTATTCAGTGGACACTCACAGGGAAACTAGAAGATCTGGAGTTTGCAGATGATCTTGCCTTACTCTCGCACAGGCTACAAGACATGCAAGAAAAAGTTGATGCATTAGGAGCCATCTCTCAGCGCGTAGGTCTCAAGATCAACAAAGAAAAGACAGAAGTGATGAGAATTAACAATAACCAGGATGCCCCAGTGACAATAGACGGAAGAAAGGTAAATGATGTGCAAGAGTTTGTCTACCTTGGCAGCAAGATCAGCAAAACGGGAGGTACATAGGAGGACATACGTGCTAGAGTTGATAGAGCCCGCTGCGCTTTCACAGTCCTGCGATCCATATGGAAAAGTTCGGCCACCTGCATTA